CGAGAATAATTGATATTATCTTTAAAAGATTGTGTTGTACTTGTTTCACATAAGACTTCTCTGGACAAAGGCCTTGTTCAGCGGATAACTCTATGGCTACAAGTTCCAACACCTGCTTTATGGGAAAAGAAGATGTACAAGAAGATTTGATCTGAGTATAGCCGTTGAGTTGTTGCAACGACTCTAATTCTTCAGCTATAAAAGGAGCAGAAGAATTGAAGATCAACTAAGAGAATAACACTACAACTACAACTAATATATACGTGCACTTCATAAAACTTATAAAAGCTCAAAAGAAGTTAGTCTGTTAGGAGTTCTTATTCTTGTTTAGGTTAAGAATCCTTAATGTTAAAGTGTGTTGTATTATATTTGAACACCTCTGATTGTTAATAAAGTGTTGTTGTAAATTATTCCTTCTCTAAACATTAAGTTTAGATAAAAGTCTTTTGTCGTAAGCTTGAGCAATAAAGTCTTGGATTCGTAGAATGTGAGTAGGAATTCTTTAATCTGAGGGGTTTAAGTAGGAAGTCTTGGACTGGAGGTCTAAGCAAGGAATTCATGAACTTGATAAGTTTAAGTAGGAAAGTCTCAGGATCTGAGGATCTAAGTAGGAAGTCTTGATCAGGTGTTGATTAAGCAAGGAAGTCTCAGGCTGAGGGTCTGAGAAGAAAAGTATTATACTTGAGTGTATAAGTAGTTGTAATCTGATTGATTATAATGGAAATCTCTTGTGTTGCAAGGTGACTGGCTATTCTCAGTTGGAGAGGAACCAAGATAACTTTTGTGTGTTCTCTGCTCATTTATTTACTTATGTCTTTCTATCCGCTGCATTTATTAATCAGAGTCTGAACTTTTGTTTAGATTTTAAACTCTGGTCAGAAATAGAAAAGATTTGGCAAACATAATTCAACCCCCCTTCTTGTGTATTTTTCTCACCTTCAAGGAGGAATGCAGAAAATTGAGGTTTTAAGAAAATGAAGGGTTGGATGATTTAATAGAATGAATTGAATAGTAATAATGGAGAGTTAAAGATCTTTGAATATGTTACAATGGTTGTCTGGAAGTTGAATAGCAAAAGAAACAAATTCATGAATCAACCATGAATGCAAGAAGATGAAGAATTCTGGTCAAATATGCAATAATTCGTCCATTCACTCTCATAGGCCGACCTAAAATTGCTAGGTGTCGGCACATACTGTATCAAAATTCAAAAGGATTCACAAAAAGTTATTTCGTACTGACATGTACGACTATGTGTCGATCAATACTGTACCTTAAATGAAAAATGCAAAAATTAATTTGCATAGGTCGACCTATACGAAAGTGTGTCGACCTCTATTGTACTAGACTAGACAAATACAAGACTCAATTTGAATAGTTCGACCTGTACAACTTTGTGTCGACTTGAGTAACACAAATACTTATACTTTACTTAATTTGAACAAGTAGAGACCAATAATGACCCATGAATACTGAGTTGATGAGAGACACATGCATATGATAGTTTTTATGGTTTGTTTTCTTGAATCATGCAATCATGTAAAATTAATGCATGAGTTGGTTCAAGATATAGATGAATTAGGTAGACACTTATATGTAGTTACTATAAATATGTAATATGCAACACATAACAATCACATTGAAACTTTTGGAAGCAAACACACATCACAAATATCACACACATAGTTCATCACATACCTTTAAGAAATAAACAAGTAAAAGAAATACTTACGTATGTACCAGAAGAATTGAGATTATATTACCTCATCACACAAGATGAAGGATGCACTTGCATTCCACGAAGAAATTTCGAACGAAATTTGAAATAAATGTATAACATGCCACAAAACACAATCGAGACCAAGATGCTCTTACCACTTTTATTCTTGTACAAGTATTTGAAAGTGTGACCAATAATTATTCCAATATGTGATTGACTTAATGATTATCCTTGATGTTAGACTCAATCATATTCAACCATGATGATTACCTCACTCCTCCTCATGTTTCATCATCTTAGGTTGATAACTCCTAATTTGATGTACTTGAGAATATCTTCTTGAAGATAAACATACATTATTGAACATAATACCTTTCCGACACTTCTCGGATAGAACATTAGTAATCATTCACACACTTTTACCATTTAAACAAAACACAAAGAGTTAATCTAATTGGTAACACAATATGCCTTGTTTGTCACATAAATCAAAATAATAAAGACATGTCAACGTGTTGTGCCTTGATGCTCCAGAAACGAGATCCCATACTCTCTTCATAGAGTTATGACATTTTTCCTTCATGGTTAACAAATAGTGTTAGGTACCTAATCTTCATTGGGTCCTTGGGGATTAGTAAGACTTTGGTTGCAATTAGGAATCCACTGAAAGGCACCATTTGGAACAAAAAGTTTCCTAAATTTGCACTTAGCAATGGTGTGATTCTTTTTGCAACAATAGTGACAATACATATTAAGAAAAGATAATCTTTTTCTATTTAGTTTCTTTTTAACGTAACTATACCTTCTATAAGGATTATAAAATGGTAAGTCATATTCGGAAGTATCTATATCAAAATTAACCTTAGGTTGTGTTGTATCCCAAAATTTGCCCTACCTTTTCTCCATTTGGTTTATGTTTCATTTCATTGCATTAGCATATCACATTGCATAAGCATACCCCAAATTTGTCCTACTTGTATATATTTCTCATTTATACATCCTTCCATTCCTCATAGTCAGAAAATTCAAAAGTTGCCAGGTGGAGTCAAGTTTCAGATAGGGGGCATGCGTCCTATTCACTTGGTGCATAGTGAATATTTGGACTCATCGAGGTTCAAGATGATATTTGAGTTGGGTACGCCTTCAGTTATATTTCGGGGATTTATTCAAGAAGTTGGATTAAGGAAGAGTTATATGATCATGTGTTTTAATGTATAAACAATTTATGTGGAGACATGGTCTGCCTTCAAGACATAGTTTGATGATGGAAATACTGACAATGATCATTTATGCTCGAGTCATGAGGATTAAACTAAAGCGCAAGATCCAAAACACTAAGCATGATGGAAAATAACAGTTAGTAATTTCCGGTGGGCAATTTACGACTGTAAGTTTTTCTCAAGGCATATTGAGATTTAATGAGTTATGAGTCGAGTTGGTTTTTCTCCAAGTCATTGTTTCTTAGGCCATATCAATTATTAAATTGTATTTGTTGGTCAAGGCATATTTTTCCAAGTTATTTAATTTGAAGAAACTTCAAGGTATCCCCAAGAAAATAAGCACTTTCTTAGCAATTTTCAATTATTTCAAGACAATACAATGTGAAGAAAGAAGGTGATCACGTTGAAGCTCATGAATTGGTACAAAATCATTTTTACAATTTTCAAAGGATTCATAGAGGTTCATGCTTTATTTTACAAGGAGGTGTACAAAGATTAAAGACGTGGTCATGACATTGGAATCATTTTGATGCTTAATGAGTCATGCTCCAATTCAAGATGTTTTCTTTAAATTTCAATCAAGTTATCCTGGATTAATAAAATAAACAGCATGCCAAAAGCATAAGGAAAACACTGGTTTCGTTTACAATGTTTGCGCAAAAAAAAGGCTTCCACCGTGATGCCCGTACGAATCCTTCCATTTCTCCCTTTGAATTCCCACTTTTTCCTTTATGTGAATCCATCTTCTCCTTCTTTTCCCCCAAAGAAGCATATGTTCTGCAGCTCATCATTATCATTATTAATACCCCAGCTGCAATTCGTATACAAGTTACGACAAAGCCGGCATCCCGTGAAACCTGCTCCCAAAAAGAAAACAGATTCCTTACTCTTCTTCCACTTTGAAAACCTCTTCTCTGTTCATACCATCTCCATACGCCCACTTGCAAATCAAGAGAAAAAGGCCACACGAAAAAACCTGCAGCACAACATTATGCAAAGAAGCCGTTACGTAGGGATGAATACAAACACAGAGAGAGACAAGTTGTATGAAATAAATGAGATCAAGGATTCATTCTAAAAAACTTGTGGAAATCATACTCTTGCTGAAACCATCACAGGCATCATATTCAATAATGGCTACACCACACCTGAAAATGGCAGCAACGGGATTGACGATTTGCGTCCTGTGAAGAATGAATTAAATGAGAAACAAGCTTCACAGCAGCAAAAGGGATCGGACCTCACATAATTTTACAAGGGTTTCTACTTTTTCACCAGAATTTCTTAAATTCCTCGACGTACAACCCTCGATTTGGGCATTGAATTGGTGCTGCATTTGGTTGAATTTGTTTTCTGTGAATTGAACTTGGATGAGAGGATGCTGTAAAGTTTAGTTCTTGGAAGAAAGAATTTTGTGTAGCTATTTGAATTTTGGAATAGAATGTTCAGTACGAGTATGGATTCTGGAAGGGGTGTGGGTGGTGTTGTAGCAGGGACGGTGCTAGTTCCCATGTGTTTCGTGTGGCCGTATGGGGGCAGGAGCGTGTATCTCAGTGGTTCCTTCACACGGTGGTCTGAGCTTCTGCAAATGTCACCAGTTGAAGGTTGTCCAACTGTGTTTCAAGTAATCCATAGCTTGGCCCTTGGTTATCATCAGTACAAGTTTTTTGTTGATGGAGAATGGCGGCATGATGAGCACCAACCTTATATATCTGGAGAATATGGGATAGTCAACACTGTATTATTGCCTACTGATCCTAATTTTATACCTGTTTTACCTCCCGACATAGTTTCTGGGTCTAACATGGATGTGGATAGTGAGACCTTTCGGCGTGTGGTCCGATTGACAGATGGTACATTGAGTGAATTGATGCCGAGAGTATCAGCGGTTGATATACAGACCTCACGCCAACGTATTGCTGCATACTTGTCAATGCAAACAGCTTATGAATTACTTCCTGAGTCAGGCAAGGTTGTTACCTTGGATGTTGATCTGCCAGTGAAGCAAACATTTCACAAACACCACTTACTATTCTTGTCTAGAACTTCATTCTACAACAATGGTAGATCAAGAGGAAACTGAAGAACTCAAGCTTCTTGCTGAATGGAAGAGAAAGAAAGGTGGATTCAGAGCTACCATGTTTATTTTTGTTTTGTCAGCATTGGATAATATGGGTTTTGTTGCAAACATGGTTAGTTTGGTTCTGTATTTCTATGGAGTGATGCATTTTGATCTATCAAGTTCTGCAAATACTCTTACAAACTTCATGGGTTCAACTTTCTTGCTTTCTCTTGTTGGTGGATTCATATCAGATACTTATTTGAATAGGTTCACCACCTGTTTGATATTTGGCTCCTTAGAAGTTCTGGCTTTGGCAATGGTTACTTTTCAAGCTGCTTCAGGTCATTTACATCCAAATGCATGTGGGAAATCGAGCTGTGTGAAAGGTGGGATTGGGGTTATGTTTTATGCGTCGTTGAGTTTGTATGCACTGGGTATTGGTGGAGTGAGAGGGTCTATGACTGCTTTTGGTGCTGACCAGTTTGAAGAAAAGGATCCTAATGAAGCAAAAGCACTTGCGAGTTATTTCAATTGGCTTTTGCTTAGTTCAACTGTTGGAGCAATTTCTGGTGTTACTGGTGTTGTTTGGGTTAGTACACAAAAAGCTTGGCATTGGGGGTTTTTCATAATAACCATAGCTTCTTCTATTGGTTTTGTCACATTTGCTCTTGGTAAGCCTTTCTATAGAATCAAAGTTCCTGGAGATAGCCCCACCATCAGAATTGCTCAGGTTATTGTTGTGGCGTTTAAAAACCGAAAGCTGTCACTGCCAGAGTCACACGAAGAACTATATGAGATAAGTGACAAAGATGCAACAGTGGAGAGAATTCTTCACACAAGCCAAATAAGGTCTCTAGATAAAGCAGCAATTCTGCAAGAAAACATGAAACCACAACCATGGAAAGTGTGCACAGTGACACAAATTGAAGAAGTGAAAATCCTGCGCCATTCTGCTACCAACAGACAATGCCAGCTACAACCACTACCCTGCTACAAACTCACACCAGACCAACCATTCTGCTATCCCTGCTTTAACTCCTCCCACACCAGACAACTCTGCGACAATACAACCTGCCCCCTGCTACACTAGGTTGTACAAACCTGCAACCTGTAGTGAAAACCAAACCAACCAGTAATATAACAGAACTTAATCTTCATTGGTAAAAAAAAAATGAAGAACCACACTTCCATTCCTCCTCTGGATCAAAACCTGCTACCAATTTTTTCCCCACAACGATTCAACCAATAACACAAAGCCCAGAACAAAACCATCAACTGTTGAATCTCTCCATCTCTAACTCTCAAAAACTCAAAACACAAAAAACCCAGTTACCAAGTTCTGAAAATCAACACAAAAACCACAATCCCAGACTATCAATTTCAAATCTTCAAACACTCTGCCCAGAAACTTCCTCCACCGTTTTTCTTCGAATCACCTTCGAACCCACTCTGCAAATCCACTCACCTCACCTTCCTTCCATCATCATCAGACACAAACGGAAGCTCACCGGCGAAGCCATTTCCACCCTCTTCGAAATCCTTACTGACATCATCATCATCCTCTTAACACCTCAGCTAAATAAATCACCCAGAAATCTCCATTAAACCCTCAAAGCCATAATAGAACTTTCATCGAACATATGGTGGGCGACTTTTTGCGTCTCTGTTCAGTACCTTCTTCCATTAATCTCCACTGTTGATTCTTATTTTCTTCAAACCTATTATTCCAAACCAAAGCGGTTACCTTCTCCTCAATCCGTCCGCCTCCTTCAAGCTTCAACCACTCAACTCAGCTTCAAACCCTCCGATTTCAACACCATCGCGAGACCCACTCATCAGAACCCCCCATCGCTAAAACCATGAACAAAGCAAACCAATAGAATGGAGGGAGAATTCGAAACCGAGATCGAGAAAGAGAAGGAGGAAACATTTAATCCTAGGCCTGGAACGAACGGAGGCGTCTGGAGATGAAATATTCTTCTTAGTGAAGATGTGGTGCGATTCACTTTGATTTGCTTCGTAATGCTCTTTGCCTGCGTTTTTACAGAGGTTGGTTTTCTTCCACACTCCAAGTTGTACCCCCTCTGTTTCGTTTAATGGTTTTTGTAAATATTAATTTGTAAACTTAATTTATTCTTTTTATACTTTTGGTTAGTTTTAATTTATATATTATTTTTTCAAAACAGATTTGTTAATATTTATTATATTGTATTCATTTCTTTTGAATTCTACAAGTATATTGTTTTTATAATGTTTTATATAGAAGTTTATATTATTCTCTATTCGGGTTTTATTTCAATTTCTTTTAGAATTTTGATTCATTTTCTCTCTTAGAAGTTGGATTTGATTTTCTCATTTGTCATAGGACTTTTTGTTTCATTTTCATCTGTTTGGGTCGATGACGAGACCTCCGTAATTCATTACCAGTCAAATTATTGATGAGTAATGTTGGATCTGAGACCACCTCTTTTCTCTCTTCATTACTTGTCCCGACTCGATTCAAAAACTCTGTCAAACAATTTTCAAAATCAAATTATTCTTTGTATTGAATTAAAAGGAGGGGATTAAGTGTAGACTTTCTTCCTCTCTGAGTGTTGGGATGCCCACTGTAGTGAGGGTGGTTTCGACACTCGTCTTTCAATACAAAGACGCTTTCCCTCCATTTTCTCTTCTAAAACCTCGGCTCCGCACCGAGTGCATTTTCAAAAACCTCGGTCTCGTACCGAGTCCATTTTCAAACCATAATAAATTGATTTCTCTTTGTATCGAATTAAAGAGAGAAGATTGGGTGTAGACCTCTTCTTCTCCGAGTGATGGGATGCCCACTGTAGTGAGGGTGGTCTCGACACTCGTCTTTCGATACGAAGACACGCCTTTATCCACCATTTCCTTTCACAACTTCCTTCCGCACCTTTCTCACCTAAAACCTCGGTCCTGTACCGAGTGCCTTTTCAAACTCATTTTCGCAACAAAAAAACTTGAATGGTCGTGGAGTGGTTAGGCGTAGGCCTTCTCCTATCCCGAGTGCTGACGTTTACCGTAGGGTTCTCCGTCGCAAAGCACTTACCATTCAAAACCAAAAACATCTTTAATAAGAGAACGAAGTTCCCTTTGTATTGAATTAAAGAGAGAGGATTGGGTGTAGACCTCTTCTTCTCCGAGCGTTGGGATGCCCACTGTAGTGAGGGTGGTTTCGACGCTCGTCTTTCAATACGAGACGCCTCGTTCGCCACACCTTTTTATAACAAAAACTTTGAGATAACGAATTGGGTACTACCCGTAGGGGTTACTATCCGAGGACCTGTCTCGCCCCCTAACGATCCAATCAATCAAACGTGACTCCTTGCCCCGCGTGGCGAAAACTAATCAATCTTTCAACAGGATATGTTACGTCCGTTCTACCGCAAACAGGTACGCATAAGTCTCCCAACGAGCGAGCAGCAAAACACCTAAACTGCTAGAACGCGTACGATAACATCATCCACAAAACACACCGGTTATCCGCACCGTAGGTACGAACTACGTTGCTCTGATTTCTCTTGCATGTTGAGAATACGTAGGCATAGGATTGCGATAATCCTAGCGAGCACCCTTTTTTCTTTTTTACCCTTTCCCAGAAAGGCATGCTACGTCCGTTCTATCGCAAACAGGTAACGCCTAAGTCTCCAACGAGCGAGCAGCAATACACCTAACTGCTAGAATGCGCATGATAGCAGCGTCTACCAAGACTTCCCCGCACACCGTAGGCCGAACTACGGCTGCTCTGATTCTTTACTTCTTCAAGTAAAGATACGTAGGCACAAGGGCCACAATCCTTGCCGAGCACATTCCCCCCATATCTGTAATTCCCCGAACTACGTCGACTCTGACTTTCTCATATCTTATGAGAATACGTAGGCCTAGGACTGCGAAGTCCTACCGAGTTTGTTCTTTCTCTTTTCTTCCCCGTTCTCTCTTTCCTCTTAACTTTCTTGTTTCTAACCCTTCTTTTACCCCGTGGAACACTTCTTATAACATAATATTTAAGCAGATAAATTCACACATCGACAAACAAAAGGTTCCCATCGAGTACGATGGATGCGAGGGGTGCTAATACCTTCCCCTCGCATAACCGGCTTCCGAACCCGTTCATGGTTGCGAGACCATCTTATCCATTCTTTTCTTAAGGTTTTCTCGATATTTTCCTTTCCCCTCATGGGATAAATAAAATTCGGTGGCGACTCTTCTGTCTATCTTTTTCGCCTCCCCGTCGTTGCACGATGCATTTTTCGAGTAGCGACAGGTTGCAAAGCCTTATCTAATTTTGCTTTAAGAGTCCTTGACTCCTTTTGCCAAATGTGACAAGTTTCACAATGAAACTACAAAGATTTAGGATCCTCATCTTGATCCTTTAGAATATCTAACATATATTTCCTTAGTGCTTCCATATTCTTTTCATTTTCTAAAATCTTAGCTTCTAAATATGAAATAATTCGTTTGTTTGAAGATAATTTTTTGAAAGCATCTATGGCTTGTCTTTGTAGATTTTCAAAAGATTCTTGACGTTGAGAAAAAGATAAATCATGATAAGCTTGATGTTTAGAGTGAATTGCAAACTTTTTCTTTCCGTTGTTTACCATATAGAAAAGATTGGTTGATTCACCACTTGAAGTAGAGCTATCATCACTTGATGAATCACTTTCGATCTCCCAAGCAGCATAAGCTCTTCTAGATTTTCTAGACGAATTGTGACGGTCCCTTTGTTTTTCTTTCTTGATTTTAGGACATTCTGGCTTGAAATGACCGAGTTTACCACAATTGTAACAAGTAATTTGAGACTTCCCCTTTTTGTTCTCATCTTCTTTTGAGTAACTTGAAAACCTTCTTGATTTGTTTGGTATTTGTCGGGATATTCGGTACCATGTTTCAACATGTATTTATTGACTCTCTTTATAAACAATCTCATATCTTTTTCATCAGATTCATTGTCATCTTTAGATTCACAATCCCTTTACTCATTTTGAGAATGCCTTGAACTAGAAGTCTTTAGAGCCATGGACTTCTTCTCTTCTTCTTTGTTTTTCCATTTATGCTTCTTCATTTTCTTTTCACATTCTTTTTTGTATTTTGCTAAGCAAGTGAGCTCTTCATGCTCTTCCAACTTACCAAACAAAGTCACGAGATCAAGTGACTTAAGATCATTTGCCTCCTTGATGGAGGTGACCTTGGGTTGTCATTCCCTACTTAAACACCTTAACACTTTGTTAGCAGCAAGTTCATTGGAAACAGGATTACCTAGCGCATTTAATCGATTTATGAGATGTGTGAACCTTTTTCACATATCTGCAATGGTTTCACCATGCTCAATACGGAATAGCTCAAACTCTTGATTTAATGTGTTGATCCAAACTTGTTTGACATCATTAGTTTCCTCATGGGAAATCTCTAATGCGTCCCACATAGCCTTGGAGGTCTTATAATGAGAAATGCGATAAAACTCATCAACACCCAAAGCGGATGTGAGAATGTTTTTCACTTTCCAATCATGTGACCACAATTTACAATCATTAGCATCCCATTGTGCTTCCGGTTTAGGTACGATAATGCCTTCATTGTTCACTGTTATTTCATTCGGACCATTTTGAATATCGTCCCATATACCTTTGTCAACAGAGTTGACGTGAATACGCATAAGAGCTTTCCAATAGCCATAATTTTCGTCGGTGAAAATTGGTGCTCTATTGTACGTTCCCTTAGGTTTGATAGCCATTCTTCTGAAAGTAAAGCTCAAGCACGGAATTAACCAGAGATCTTGATACCACTCGTTATACGATAGACTTAGATCTAGAGGGGTTGAATAGATTACAAATTTAAAACCAAAACTTTTGGCAAAAAATTATTTTAAAAAATTTATGGCATAGCGGAAACAACTTGAATCGAATCGTCTAATTGAACCTACTATCAAAAAGCTCGAATATGCGTAATGAGAACTGATGGAATGATAATGAACACAAATTGTTCAACAACGATTAATTCACCAATCAATCAAATGCAAAACTATTCGTAATGCTTATTTCCAATTAACACAAAGCGATAAAAATACTCAAAGATGATTTATCGAACACTTTGTGTACGATCGATCACGTTTGAAAATTCAATTTATTTTGTTGATGTTAAAATCCAATCACAATCAAAGTGATTATGATTATATCAATAACAACACTTTAAAAGATAGTTAAAAATAATTTTTAATCGAATTAATCGAAACAACAATGATATCGATAATTTGCAAGAACAATAATTAAAGAAATTGAGTAATAGAGAGAGAGAGAGAGAGAGAGAGAGAGAGAGAGAGAGAGAGAGAGAGAGAGAGAGAGAGAGAGAGAGAGAGAGAGAGAGAGAGAGAAAGATTTGTTTAGGTTGTTCCCCAATCGGTCTCACTATGGGTATGTCTGCCTCAATCCGAAATCGAATTGAGATACCTGCAATTAACCTTATCTTTGCAAAAAAATTATACAAGAGGTGAAAAACTCTAACCTCACAAACCCTATAGTTTATTGTTGATTCAACCACCTCCAAACCCTTGATCAAAGCTTGACCAAGTCACCAATAATGCGGCTACAGTCCATTGATTATCCCGAGCACGCACTTGTTGAATCCAAGATTCTTGAACACGATTCACCGTCCCGCGCTACTCCCTTGAAAGGGAAACCACCTTGTCCCAAGGCCTTCACTCGGTTGAATCCGTGTTGACGTGATCTTATCCAAAACCTTCAAATCCCAATGATATTGAAGGAAAACCCCACCTTAGTTTTCTTATTTGAAACATACAAAGATCGCAACCCAATGTTCTCAGTTACACCAACCTAATTGGATGTTATCAGCCCTAATCTAGATGGTCACCCAATCGAAAAATGATTATGTGTATGCATAGAAGAAAGATTGAAGATGATGGGAATGCTTTGTAATCTGGTTTCGTTTAGGTAATTCACTAGTACCTTGCTATAAAAAGGTACATGTATGAGTATATATGTGTGTATGTGGAAATAGGAAAAGAGGGTGCAAAAAACAAGATGCAAAATAAAATTTAAGCTTTTGAAAGCTATGGGTCGGCCTATTTAAGCAATAGGTCGGTCTGCCAAGGTGTTCAGGTCGGCCTGAATGAGGCAACCTATGGACAGAATCCACATGCTTTAATATTGATGCGTGGAGGTCGGCCTGTAAGAGCTATGTGCCGACCTGTGCTGAAGCAAAAGCATTTATAGGTCGGCCTGAGATCGTATGTGTCAGTCTGTGTAAGAGTGTTCACACATAAAACATAGTTTTTGATGTACGAATCATGCCTGGACATTTCCAATCATTTTCAAAAATATTTTTATGTATCCTAAGGCTAAAATGATTCAATTCACATTTAAACTTTGGTTGATACAACCCAATATACAAAAACGCTACGTCACACTCCTAGTTTTGACATCATTCAAAATATGGCTAGATTGAAGAATGCACTCACACACCTTTTTTCAACCATTTTGTGTGTTTAATCTCAAGCACATATAAAAGCTTTTTGTCATCATTTCTCATTATGAATTAATCATTATGTTAATATTTTTCAGTGTGATTTTTAGTGAAAATCAATTTCCTCTATTTTGAATGTTCAGAGTCTTGCTACGAAATTCTTGCATCTTCAACTTCAATTGAGTTCAGATCTTGATAAAAAGAGTTTTAAAATTAATTGAAGGAGACACACATTTAAAACTAACAGTTCTTGGAGATCTTGTTGAGTTTTTCAAGTTGTTATCAAGATTGAGGGATTGTTAATGGTGGTGACAAATTTCATTGAAAAGAAGTAGGTTCTTCTCTCCAGAATTGCCTTAGTAGTGACTGTGTGGAAGACTGTAGATAAGGCGGAGTTCTTCTTAGATCTTCAGACAATTTCACCGCTCAAGGAATCGATAGGATCGAGGGGTTAATTACTACATACAAAGGCTTGGAGCAGAATTGGTGTTATTGAATGATTTAAGAAACATATTCGAGTAAAGATTACGTGGAAGAGTTTGGCAAATTTGTTGTATACAAGTCAAGATCCAAATTAGGAGATTTATTTTCTCAGGTGTATTGAAGATTGGTTATTGTACGAACTTTTGGAAATATTTGTCAAATAACAATAAACTTTGCAGGTTCAAATGGGAAACCATTGAAGAGTGCACGTAGGCAAAGCGAGGACGAATGACGAAGCACGTAAGCATGCCTAGGTTTTTCAATTCTTTTGTATTATATTGTTTGTTGTTAATAGAGATTTATCACGTAAGATTTAGGTATTATTGTAATTGAAGAACTAGTAAAGCTGGTATTGTGATTGATAAATTTGAAAATGAATTGAATTTCGAACTCCACGAATTGAATCATTTACACTTCTTGTGAGTAGACAAATTGAATCAATTCATACCAATCGTTTCAATAATTATAATATTTTATATTTGTGAAATAAATTGTGTTGGCTTGATCAATGTTTAAGTGTATAATTTTCATTTTTGCATCAAACTTTCCGCTCGCAGCTCATTTTTTAAAACACTTTGATTTTGAAAAACGACGGTTGCATTTTTTAATTTGGATATATTCACCCCCCTCTAGACCGTTTTTCTACTTCCATATTGACATCCAACAATCTAAGTATTAATGGAGGATATGTGCTCGTAGGGATTATTGCGTCCGTCAAACTTGGCCAAGGTGGGAGGTTTGAAACCCTAAAAAACAGACGACCCCATTTGTCTAAGAGTGGTTGAGAATCTAACTGTTACACCGAAAGGATGATGGTGACGAGAGAAGTTGTAGCCCGAATTAGTTTTATCAGGGCCCCATGGTAGGCACCAATGTACTTGTCAAAAAGTACAAAGTGCGTATGTTTCCTCTGCAAGGGCAAAAGGACTCTATTGCCTTTGTAAGTGTATCACAATTTGGGTAGTGAGGGTTTTCCCATAACGGCGAAAAACCATGTATGGTGATTTTTGAAGTTGTTTAATGGACTAGCTCACATAAGGTAAGAGACCCTGTTGGTGACTGGCGTTGCTCGGTTGCAGGAGGGCGATTAGGTTGATGGTGTGTTGAGGCTACTAGGAGCGTAGTGGTGAATGTGTATCACTTAAGAATCTCCTTATCTCCTTGAGTGATATGGTATTTATATGAATCTTTGCCGCTTAGGGTTTTTACCTTCTATACATGGTTTTAACCACTCCCCACTTACTAGAGGAGATTATTGACCGTCTATCTTCTTAGAGTCAATACAAACTGATGATATCTCTTAAATGACTCTGTTGAATTCCGTCTGAATGGTCTAATTTTTAGGCGAAGGCGCCCTAATCTTTGACTTTACTAAGAGCATTCACATCCATCATACCCATTTGTGTTCTTTAAATGGGTCCCATTTATTTCTTTTACATTATATTACACTTTTTAATTATTTAAACAACTCAACTACATTTTCCAAATATCCATACAACTCATAAAATTTGTAAAATGGGTCCCACTAAATACCACAAATATCTTATATTAAATCTTTTTACAATTATTTTCAATTAAACAATTAATTAAATGCACATGTGGCACTTGTAGGAACGTTGTTTAATGTGACAACGGTTTCAAATTAAAGAACGATGTTATTATATAATTATCCATCATTTTCTGACACAATCACTTTGGTAATAGTGTAGGAATCATATATTTCTACCGATAATTATGCTCTATATCCATTATTACATGTTCCTTTTTAGGAAAAATATTTGAAGTTTTGTTGCTAATAGATTTTTTTTTTAGAAAAGAAAAAATTAATTAATTGTAGACTTTTTTATATAGTGGTGTTTTCACAAAACCAACTTCAATCCTTTAATTTAAATAATTTTAAACAATTCAATCCATTTATTCCTCCTATTCTACACCGATTTTGATTCAGAAACAATTTTGTAAGGTTGGCCGTTAAATCATTAATCTAAATATAAAAAAAAAATTACTTTATGTTATTTTCTACATTTATTTTTAACCTACAAATCTCGCATAATCAAACTACATTGTCATCAATCTTATATTATGCAGGAGAATGTTTTTTAAGATATATAAAAATCAATCAACACATCTCTTCCAACAGATATTGAAGAACATTCACCTGCATTTCCAAACATCTTATATAACTTTCTACTTCATTAACAACTTGTTCATCACAAATTTCTTCACCACCAGGTATCAAATTTTTCATCTTTTCCTCATTATCTTCAATACTCTTTGTAGCTACATCATCATTAACACGATCCTTTTGAAGCTTGAGTTTAAGACTATTACTCCATGCAAAACCTTGAGCTGATAAAACCATTGCCATGTCCACTTCATACTTAACATAAGTCCTATTATCTTTTGTTGCAGAACTAGGGTTTTCCTTTATCTTCATCAATGCTGGAACTAAATAACTTGAATATTTTCTAGTAAATATAGTTTGAACTATTTTATTTGGTTCCATAGAGTAAACAAGTTTATTTTGTTCTTGTGCCTCTATTATATAAGCGACGCAGCTTGTTACCTGATTGTTTGATATTTCTGTATAATTTTGATAAAATTAATTTAATATATAAAAAAATTAGAAAAATTTATGAATAGAGAAGAGAGAAGAGAAGAAAGATTTATGAGAAATGTAAGACGTTGGGAGTGGTCACATGGAATCACATGTTTAATGTTGCTTTTTTAACAAGTATGCCATGTGATACTAGAAAACAAAAAACACTAAAACCCAACTAAGTATAAATGTTGTCACATGAGTTCAGTTTCTTTAAGTGGTAATCTTTCACTTTGCTCTTCACAGGTATTCCCTACTTTATTTACCTTTCCCTTTCATTTCAAATCCACCAGCTCATGTTATTAGTTAGGACTACTACTACTCCTTTTCCACTCACATATTGTGTGTCTCCCACCATAGGTATATCAAAGGTTCACAGTTATTTTGATGTGAAATTATGGGACTGAAAGTGCAAATTGAAATTGAAATGTCTTTTCTAGATTTAATGTGATATAGTTACAAAGTAATGGTGTAATTAAAGTCAAGTCTTGTCTGTATTTGATATTGTATATATAAACTATTTGTGCTATGAGAGCATCTTATCCCATTTATGTAATTTTTATTCCAAAGAGGAAACATAAAATTATAAAATCTATAAAAGATGAATTTAAAAAAGTTACTAGATTAGACCATTTTTTTATTTCAGGTGACCCTATATACCTCTATATATAGCTAATGGATTCCAACTCTTAGGGTAAAACTAAATGCCAACTACCCTTTGAAAAATTGTGGGACATGTAAGCATGTGCACAACTCATATTATTTCCATGTTCCTAGCTACTTTCTCCTTCCCAAAATAATAGTTGAGTTATTATGAGATTAATAAATATAAGGGTAATGTTGGAAAACTAATACACATTGTTCACAAGTTTATTAGTAATAATGTATTAAACAAATTTGCTGCAATATTCTGGTGATGATGTTATTCTTTCAAGATCTACCTGAGGTAGAAACCAAGGCTAAGAATATATTCACATGTAGATGACATAACCAGCTGTGTTTTGTTTTTGGGTAGGGCTATTTGCCATGTATAAATTAAAAAATAAAAATGGAATCTATTGAATGTGGATGAACTAATACTATGGAGATTGCACCAAGGAGTCATTCATAAGTTAAGACTAAAATGGAAAATAAGGTCTCCAAATTGTGAAAATTCAAAATACCTAGTAATCTTTGATGTTTCAATCAAAATAGTTTATCTGAAGTGATGGCAAAGACTTGGTCTTTGTTAATTATTAAACATTCTCAATTGTATTAAGGAAGGTGGTTGTAATTATGGTTTTTTCCACACCTAGGTAAAAATCAGAGGTAGAAGGAATATTATATTAACTCTTAAAGTTGAAGAAGGTTGGATTGAAGGGGTGCCTGAAATTAGACAATCGATTGTTAAGTATTTCTCTAATTATTTTAAATAATTTTTCTTTAACGATACCATTCAGATTTTAGGAGTTAGATGGTGGTGGATCTGAGTGTGAGGGCAACAAAAATCCATGCATGGATGGTTTTAATTTCTTCTTCCTAGAAAGGTTCTAGAATTTAGAGAGAGAAGATTTAAGGATCATGTTTGATTAGTTTCATTATTTTACATCTCTATTTCATAGTTTTGCATTTTATTTTGTGACTTTGATCTCAAAGGCGGAGTTTTCATCTCAATTGGGTGATTTTAGGCTGATTTCCTTAGTGGGATCATTGTATAAGTTGCTGGCTAAAGTGTGGCTACTAGACTTGGGTTGGTGGTGGATAAGTTTATTTCTCCTAATCTATCGACATTTCTTAAAGGAAGAATGTTGGTTGATGGACTGGTTGTTGTTATGAGGTGATAGACTTGGCTAAGAGAAGTTTGTCTTATTTTAAGGTGGATTTTTAGAAAACGTATGATTCAATCACTTGGAGTTTTTTTAATTATATATTTATGATGTTTGGGTCTAATGAGAATAGAAATCTTGGATGAGAGCTTTTGTGTTTCTTGGGAATCGTGTGATGCTGGTTAATGGGTGTCAACCTTAAGAGATTAGCATTCAAAGGGGTTTAAAACAATAGGATCCTCTATCTCTTTTCCTTCTTTTTTTTGCTAGTGGTTGAGGAGCTTAATGTCTTAGGTTTTAGGGTTGTAGATTTTTATCTTTACTCCGAGTTTAGTGTGGGAACGTCTGATTCAGTAGTTTCTCATCTTCTGTATGCAGATGATACACTCATTTTGGTTGTCCTTACTCCTGAGAACCCGTGGAGTATTAAGGTGGTTCTATGGGATTTTGAGTTGGTTTTGGATCTTCGTGTTAACTTCTTTAAGAGTATTTTTGTAGGGTTAATGTATTTTGGCCTCTATGAGTGATTTCCTCCTTTATAGGATTGAAACTTCCTGTTTGAGTATATTGGTCTGCTTATGGGGGATAATCCTAGGATTGATACTACCTTGAACCCTTTAGTCAGTTTTTTTGACCAAGAGGCTCCATTCTAGGAAGCACATGTATGTTAGTTTGGGTGGTTGAGTGGGTCTTCTTAATTTTGTGCTTAATGTTATCTCGCCTTCTTTCTTTCTTTTTTAATGATGTATGTGAAGGTCTGGAAGAAGCTTGTTAAGATTCAAATAAGGTTTCTTTGGGCGGGTGAAGAGAGATTCTAAGATCTCCCTAAGGCGAAGTCTCTTTCCCATATGGGTGATTTTAGGTTGATTTTCCCTAGTGAGGTCATTGTATAAGGTGGTGACTAAAGTGTTGAATGCTAGACTTAGGTTAGTGATGTTCAAAATCATTTCTCCTATTGATAGACATTCCTTAAAGGAAGAACGTTGGTTGATGGAGTGGTGGTTGTTAATGAGGTGGTACACTTGGCCAAAAGATCTAAGAAAACTTGTTTTATTTTTAAGGAGGATTTTGAGAAAACGTATGATTCAGACAATTGGAGTCTTCTAGATTATATGTTTATCAGGTTTGGGTTTAATGAGAAGTAGAGGTCTTAAATGATATTTTGTGTGTTTGGTGTGAATCTTGAGGTGATGGATAGTTGGTACCTAACTCAAGAGATTAGCATCCAAAAGGGTTTGAAACATTGGAGGCCTTAGCTCCTTTCCTTTTCCTACATGTGGTTGAGGGGCTTAATGGCTTAGTTTCTAGGTACGTTGAGCACATTCTTTATTCTGGGTTTAGGGTCGGAACATCCAATTTCATCATATTCAATATGTAGATGATACCCTGGATTTGGTTATCCCTATTGTTGAAAATATGTGGAGTATTAAGTATATCCTAAGGAGGTTTGAGCTAACTTCAAGTCTTCGGGTTAACTTCTTCAAGAGTAGTCATGTTGGGTTAATGTGAACCCTATTTTTTTGGCCTTTGCATGTGATTTTCTCCATTTTAGGATTGAAACCCTCGCATTTAAGTATCCTGGATTGCATGTGGGAGCCAATCCTAGACTTGGAACCCTTTAGTCAGTTTGTTGACCAAGAGACTCCATTCTTAGGAACAAAGGTATGTTAGATTGTGTAGTTGAGTGGTTCTGCTTAAATATGTGATTAATGTTATCCCTATCTTCTTTTTTTCTTTTTCGAAGATGTGTGTGAAGGTTTAGAAGAGGCTTGTTAAGATTCAAATAAGGTTTCTTTAGGGGACGGGGGGAGGGAGATTCTAATATCTCATGAATCATGTGGGATGATTTTTGTAAACCTAAGAGCAAAGGAGTTTAAGAGTTAGGGATATTCTGATGGTTAGCCAACCCCCTTTGGCTAAATAGAGATGTATATTGATTTTAGGTGATTCATGTCATTGGTTTGATATTCTTGTAGCTAGACATTATGCCTCAGTTGTTTCCTCTCTTCGAGGGACCTCGGGTTTCCGATCATCTCGTGCTTGGTGGAAAGATGTATTTCTTCTTGGGTTAAAAAATATTACCCTTATAATTATCTTGTTGATGGTATCTCTAAAAGAGTGGGATCAAGCCTCCAGAATTATTTTTGGAATGATCCTTGGGTTGGACCCATTCCCCAAAAGAACAAGATCCCTGATCTTTTTTCAATTTCTACTCAATCGGATGGGTTGGTGGAAGATATTAGTTGAATGGAAAATGAGCACCTTTTTTGAGATCTTAGGTGAAAGATATCCTTCTTTCTTTGTAGGTTACATGTGGTTGATAACCTTCTTTTTATGCTTTGTGGTTCTACTCTCTCTCTCTCTCTCTCTCTCTCTCTCTCTCTCTCTCTCTCTCTCTCTCTCTCTCTCTCTCTCTCTCTCTCTCTCTCTCTCTCTCTCTCTCTCTGGATAGAGATAAGTGAAATTGGAAATATACAAGAGATGGTATATTCACTATTTCCTCTACTTATCATGTTCAGTTAGATATTATTATTTATTTTTCATCTCATCCAGTTGAGGATATGACCCTCTCACTCATATAGGTTGATTACGATTCTTTTAAGGTGGTGGTTTTTTGTTGGAAACTATTTTTAAGGAAGACTCTCTTCTAGAGAGAACTTGTTTAAAAGGAGGGCGATTATTGATTCTAATGGGATCTTTGTCCCATCTATGAGGGTCTGATTGAGTCAGTTTTCCATCATTTTTGTCACTTATGATTTAGCTTTAACCATATGGTATAGAATCTTTCAGTTTCTAGCTTTACCGGTGGTTATTCCAAGTGTTCAGAAACTTATGTTTGAGTTTTTCATCTCTTTAGGTGGTAGAGCTAAGTCTAGGGATGGTTTTGCTATGATTTGACATGATGTTGTATGGTCTATTTGGAGGCTATGTAATGATGGTATCTTTAATGATATTTCAACAATTGTGAATAAAATGGAGGAGAAGAGTAATTTTTTATCATGAAAATGGTTTCTAGGTAGAGCAGATACCATCATCTACCTTAACTAACTGTAGATTGCGTGTTTGTTTTGATTTTGGTGTTGGTAGTGGGTTATGGTTTTT